TAAAACTCAATGGAGTCAGTTTTAATCTTGTACCCAGATCCCACTCTGGCCGTGGAAGATCTGGGTACGAGATAAGGGAAAGATTAAAAACGGGCCTTTAAAGTGCATGTAAAAAATACTGGAAAATATTAATTTGTTTAATATTTTCTCTTCTAAAAAACATGTTAATAAAAATACAATATCTGATGTCTTTTCTTCGTGTAATAGTGATAACTGGTTGCAAAGGCGGAATTAATTACATTTTCTTCATGTATTTCCCAATTTTGTAGAGCTTGTTGCCATCTGAGCCACAACGAAAGTCAAATCTCGATTCACTGTTTTTAATGTCTAAAAAGATTGCTGATAGGATAATTCCAAGCACAATCCAACAGAAATTTGCTGAATCAGTGGAGTGTTTTACGAGAGACCAAATCTATTATTTCTTGCATGTCTCTCGATTTCTAGCTTAACGAACAAAAGATGCTTGCATTTAGCTTTTGTTTTCTATTAGAAATTATACAACGAGGAAACTAATTCAGATGTAGTCAACCATGGCTGTCTGGTATATTTGAATCACAAAAACACTGTTTGTTGAAAATTCACGTCAGGTCAAAGTTTTCGAATCTCGAATATTTGGTATTAGTGTTAGAAATCCGCGTAAATTTCTGTTTCTGAGCAATCATTCAATATGAAGCATAAGATTTTCTGCTGCACTCGGCCGCAAACAGGCTCTCCTGACAGCCACAACTGTGTTGAGAGCTGTACATGCTATTCTTGAAATATTTGAGGCCAATTTAAATATCGCCTTAGGTGTGAATCCTTTCGTCTCCAGCAGAGTGTCGAGATTAAACGTTCCATCCTTGCACGAACGAGGTTTAAACCTGCATTGAACTCATTTATTAGCTTTGCCAGATATTTGCAACGAAATCACAACAGCTTGGACAAATTACTGTATTAGGCTCAAAACAACCCATTCCCTTAACAGCACACCACCAAGGTGTACTTTACATGTACAACCCTTACTACAGGCCCAATGAAATGATCATCTGAACTAAGGCAAGATTTGTCACACCTACAATGTAGCCTTAGAAAAAAGCTGACATTTGCGAGATGACATCTGAGGGATGAGTGAAGAAATTCCATACTGATGACATGTCACTACCCAGATCTGGGTAGTGCTTGTAATTGGTTGAAACAAATTTTCCTTGCAGCATGCATGACCAGTCAAAAACACTAAGTGGTAGTGACCCACCATCCGTATGGAATTTCTGCACTCGTTCTTCACACAGTGGTGTGTTTTGAAAAAATGCTGGCTGTTTAATCACGCTACACTGTAGTTCTTACCAGATCAACAACCCTTATTAGGTACAACGGAGTTTGAACCTGCAGCTCCTGCTCAGCAGGAGTGTACCGGTAATCTACCGACTGAGCTAGCCAGGCAGCAGTTTATTCTCACCTCTGATGCTTGCAGTGGGTTTCTTCCATACAATCCCAATGCAGGATGGAGGCGGGCAATGTAACGAGCTATTGAATGGTCAGTAGTCAGGGTCAGGTCTCTGTAAAAAGGTACATACAGGGGACTGAAAATAACCTTTCACTTTTTATCCTCAAAGAAGATCACATTAATAATATACTTTGTAAATTTAGACAAAGTTGTAGGGATATCAGAATTGACAGGGAGGATCCTGTACTGTGAATGAGATGTCAGACCACAATGTGTGGAATAAGATCTTTGTTCTAAGCATAATGATGATGATGATGATGAGGATTTTGTTCATTCACTAATGTCAAGTTCAAAGTGGATGGAAGTCTGAACAGAAATTGTCATATTGGAGCATAAAAAGTATTCCAATGTACATTTACATCACACAACTGTATGTATTAAGACTGTCAACATTACTATAATATTTATTACTGGTGAAAAACTTTGATCTTGACAATCCTTGTTTTTTTAAAGCATATTTTAAATTTATGCCTGTGTGATTCCGTTAGATTTGTCTGAGTTCTACAAACAAATTTACCCACAAAAAGTCAAAAAAGATCAATTACCGGTATTTTTATTGCAATAAACAGGGCGACAATAATGACTATCAACACTTACTCATTGATCTTGAGCGAGGTATTATCTCCCCATTCTAACTGTAAAGGGTAAGTGCCCTTAAGTGTTCCACGGTAAGCAGGGTAACTATCAATAAAGTATTACTTATATCAATATCAAAATAATAATAATAATAATAATAATAATATAAATAATAACTTAAGTTTTAAAACTGCCTTTCCATTTCTGCTTTACATTGAACACAAAAGTGCTTCACATCAGGTCAACAATATTTTTAAAAAAATTAAAAATCAAACTTGCTAAGAATGATATGCTTTTTTAAAAAGACACATCTAAAGTTCAGAATGAAAAGTAGTTATATGAAAAGACCCTTGATAAAATGAAAATTCATAACCTTTCATGAATATTTTTTTTTCAACATTTCAGTCTGTTGTGTATTTTAGCTGAAACATCTCATATATGTTTCCCGTTACCTTAGAGGCAGGAAATAATAATTATTATTATTGTCCTCCAAGAATTTGAGTATCAATACAATGTATATGATCTTGTAAGATCTTAATGATTTTTTGAAGATTCTTGAGATAACCTTCACACCATCTCAATAATGATGCAATACAAAAGCAATAATGTGGTGCAATGTAAGATAACAAGGTGACATATTGTAACTTCATTGCAGACATTTGTACGTGGTAACTATTTTTGATCCCTTTAAAAGAAAACGCAATATAATGCAAAATATCCATATTCATCCCTCAGCAATTTTAATGTCCTTAGACTAGGCGATCTACAGAGAGCATCTATCTGTTCCAGGAAGGCAACGGTGTGGGCAGTGTACCTCCACTTGAGAACTTCATTTGTAACTGTACTACAACTCTATCTCATGAAAATTTTGATCTCTTGATATGGAAACACTCATACTTAGTAATTCCTGTATAAGCGTTTTTCTCCCCGTTTGATGATCTACTCACGATATATTGCGGGCCCTTATTTAAAGCTGCTAAAAATATCTGGAGGCGAGCTTAAAAACTGCGAATGATGGTCGCATGAGCAGCGAGCCCAATTACTAAAAAAGCTGTTTAAAGTCTGCTTTATATATCACACGATTTTTTAGAAATCAAGACACAAACCATCGATTAATGACCATCTCTAAGAACTGAAAGAACTTTTGAAGGAATGTTTTCTATTGGTCATTCGTACAATATTTAAATTACTTTCGATTTCAGAACTTTTCGCAACGAGCGCGATCACATCTACCTGGAGGCGGGCGGGAAGAGCTGACAGTCAATGATTGCGTCTTCATAGCTGTAGTACCAAACTCTGATGATGTATTATAGGAAACAACCATGATTCTGCGGCACCAGAGAGCCAAAAAACGACCACCTTTTGCCGGCAAACGACATGTTAGCATTGGCACTTGAGCGGTTCGTTTTTTAAGAGGGGGAAATTTGTCAGCGGTTTCATTGTAGTTGTTATGTTTGACTACACGGAGTGTCCTAATTTGAACTGATGTAAGGAAGTCGCAACTGTTAATTAATGTGGAGAGGAAGTATTTTTGTAACACAAACTCCCACCAAGTTCTATCGTTTGGGGTGATTATATAGCTGGTGTAAACCTTCCAAACAGGATTGTCTGGTCTAGGGATAACGGCCTCTCAGGTTGTCTAAGATGTTGAGCCACAGGAATCCCAATTGCAAACTCACAGTTTGTGAGAACTGGTAGAGGCATTATATGCAGAATGCAGCATTTTATTCCCCACCCAACGAATTTTTAAGCACGCAAGTCCTAATCGCTCTGGAATTGTTGAAAGAAAACCACTTCACTAACAAGCCGCATTTTACCGCAAGCTACCAGAAGGGTAGCTAGCCTGACTTCAGACAAGAGAGGGGTGGAAAAGAGAGAAGACTGTGAAAACAAAGAAAAATCTTTGTCTTTTCCCAGCGTTGGTGGCCTTAATCCCAGTATACTTTGCAGCCGTTCTTTCTCTTGTCACGCAAGGCTTCTCAAAAAAATGGGAGTGGCATAGGAGACTATTTTGATCCTTAGTTGGTTCACTAAATACACCAACTGTTGTGATTGGCTAAAGCATTAACTAAAAGAGTTTTGTACCAAGAGCACTCAATTAGAAACAATAATTCATTTAAAAATTATCGAAAATATTTTTCACAAAGGTTGTTAATCTGATTTATACTTCTCTGGTTCCCTGCAGGCCCAGCGGCGAGTAGAAAAATGACTATTACCAGTAGCCTAGTCTAACAAAAACCTCTGGCCAAAAAAGTTTGTTACAGCAAGGAGCTCAAAAGAAATACGATCTCCCCTAAAAACGCCTGTGGGGAAGGCTAGGAGCCCAAAAGCCTGACTGCTTTTGATTTATTCACATTCTTTCATACAGATTTAATCCAATCAGAAGCCAGCTGGAAATTGTCCTCAACTTCTGATTGGTTATTGTCTGCATGAAAGCCTTAAGAGTGATGAGCGTCATATTTCTCCTTGTAATATCTCTGCTTTATAAAACAAAATGGTGATGAGAATTACGGATATGATCACACAAGATGAATATTGGCTTGATATTTTATCAACCTCTCCCCACTTCTTCTATAGAAAATGAATAGGGGCAACTAATGAGAATTTAAATTTTGATCTTAGTTAGGATTTAAAGGGTTAAGGAGGTCACACCATTGTGCTCCTTTCTGTAAGAAAACAAGCAAGATTTCATCAACGTTGAAAATTTATTGATCTTCAGTTCTAAATTGCAAAAAATTTGGCTAGGCTTAGACTATAAAAGAAAGAAAAATGAGAGTTGAGTGAGGAACAAATTTTTGGAAAACTTGAGAAATGTATTAAAAATTCAAATTTATTTCTCTTTTTAAATAATTTATTAAAATTTTTTACAAATGGTTTTGAAGATTCTATGGATAAATATTATGAACAATATTGTAATTTATGAAATAAAAAATGTCATAATTTACTCGATGTGAAATTTAGTATTTTTATGAAATTTTCTCACAATCAAACCAGGAAGCAAAGCCATTAATGCTATACCACAAAGCTTAATGATTACAGAGAATGTAAAAAGTTCATCTAAAGAGTTGAGCTGTGACAAAATGCAGCCAGTTTGACAGCATATAAAGTTGTATGGCATGAGACCTGAAATACAAAGCAAAAACGGATGATGAGTAATGAAGTATAAAAATGAAAAACCAAAACCACAAACAGACAGGGGCACCCAATGGATCTGTTCCTCAAAATATCTGTTCTTCATGCAAATTTTTGCTGGCTGGGAGATGTGGAAGAAATAATAGTCCTTGGAAGGAAAGTGTTGCTGGGAAAAAGATAATTCAGGGTGTCAGAGGGGATTTGAAGTCTAGAATAGCTGCTACGGGTTACTTGTATGGGTTGCTTACCACTCAAGATCTGAATTGTGCCCTATGAAACTTCCCAGTAAGTCAGGTTGCAGGTTGTAAGGTTGCTGGCTGGGAACTCTTCCATCGGTCTTGCTGGGAGTGAGGAACAGATAATTTTTTTCCAGCAATCTCCCAAAATGCTTAAAATAGTCTCAGAAAACTTTATTCACGCTTTGTTGTTGTTTTTAGGTCTTTTTCTCAAAATTTCCCGTTGGGTGCCCCTGAACAGAATATATAAACTAGAAGTAGGGATTTGGTAAGTTATGTTAAGGTTAGTGTCTTTCCAAAAGAGTCCATGGATAAGCTTTTGATAAAAATTAATGTTACATGTAGTTGAAGCAGAAAAACTAATAATGATTAAATATTTAATCATAACTATAACAAAATTCTCAAATCTGATTGGCTACCAACTGCCCTGATTTCAGCCTTAATAGGACAATTTAATAGGACAGTATGCACCATCACGTGCTCGTTCAAATGGCTTTTTTTTCACTGCTAGCAAAAAAAATGGAATTTCTTCTGTTTTGATTTAAAAAAGAGCCTTATATAACAAAAATTTTGTTAAAGTCATGATTAATTGGTAACAGAACTTCGTGCCATTTAATTTGGTCTGTAATCATACTTGGATTAAACAAATCTTGTTAATCACTCGTATGATTAGAGACCGAATTGGACCCCACTCAGTCCTGTTACCATTACTAATTAGATTGTGCTTACCAATTAAAACTGAAAAGAAGAACTGTGTGATGGGTACTTCTAGAACCGGTGAAGACATGTTGAGAAACCAGTTAGGTGACATTGGAAACAGTCTTAAGAATAACAGGAAGAAGAACAAACTATCAAGGTTCTCTTTGACCTAAAAGTATAAATTAAAACAGAAATAGAAAACTTTAGGTGACTTTGCATGCATGACTGTCCTGACAATTTTGGCAACCCAGTGTAGTATTTAGAATGGAAAATCAGAATCTGATGCAACACAAATCTTACAATAAATTAAAATAAACTATAAATTATAATCTTTTTTTTTTTACCAAAGAAAAGTGGGAAACATAGTTTAACCCTACTCTATACTAATATTTTTTTATTGAAAAGGTACTCAGCATTATTTTCATATACCTTCCATAGAAAATCAGTGGTACCCCCTTTGCACAATTTGCTAAATATATGTGACGCACCCATGTGACTCAACATATTCTGATGTATAAATACTGGATCAAGAATGCACAGCTTTGTGAATGGACTCAAAGGACAAGAGGAAAAGCTTCCAAGCACTTAAACCCTTTTACACTGTCAATCACTCTTAACAGTTAAGTCACAGAATAAGAATATTATCATTTAGTAAAATCCAACTAGTGGTCTATTATCAATGCTACGTTCTGATTGGTTGAGCTACCACTAGGCTATATGTTATGGCCCACTAGCAGCGAAAAGTGCCAGCTTTGAAAACCAAAACAATGGTGGCTGAATTGCGTTTTGCTAGCTAAAGTTGTTTTGTCTCGATATTTTTGACCAACTAGTTGGATTTTACTAAAACAATAATTCTCGCCCTCATGGCCTCTGAGTCAATAGCCCATGCGGCCTTTGGCCTCATGGGCTATTGACTCAAAGCCCATTCGGGCTCGAGGAATAATTGTTAATTATTTATACTAACTTTAAGTTGAAGGGCTTGGACCCTGTCAGGAAAGAACTGCAGCAAAAGAACTTTGCCAAAAGCTTTGGATAAAAGATAACAAAATGTAGCTCCACATCCAGTTAAAAAACAAACCAAAGGAAATCCTGCCCAGATTCCAAATATAGCACCTGCCAACAAATTCTGTAAAACCCAAAAGAAAAAAATGCATTTAGTGGAGAAGCTCAAGAACAAGAAGGTTGGAGGTCCAGAATCAAATCCAAACTTCTACATGTAGTTGGTAAATAAACCATCCTCATAGTCATAGACTGAAGTGAGAGGCAAAAACCCCCGATAGTGCCAATAAGTGACTTCACCATCTTTGCTTAGCAAATAATTTTTAAGTCTAGCTTGCCCCATCTTAACCTCTTCATGCTACCTATGGCCCAGCTCTTGAAAGCAACAAATTCCCAAACAACCTACAGCAGTTTTCCCATTAAAGCACTACAGTTTCACCCATTCTCCTGAGCAAAAATCACCCTTTATAAGCAGCCAACAAATGATGGCATTTTGGGTGGTTCCATATGAGAGGTTCATTTTAACTGTGTTCTTACGATTAACTTAACTGCAGTTTTCTACCGCATAGTTGTATATCAAACAACACCTACACAATCCAAAACAGTCTTGAGTATTCTTGCACTGTTAACTAACATATTACTAGTCTATAGGGCACTTCATGTTTCAAAAATTTTATCTGGCACACTTACCATAAATACTGATCCTGGAATGGCAAAGGTCTGCTTATACAGGTACGCACTGCAGAACAGTGAAACAACATAGCCAAAATTGTCTTTTCTGTATTGCTTCAGAAGGACTGCTAGAGATTTAAGGTCTTCAAGATCACTTGGAAAATGTAGTTCATAACTGCAGAAAAGAAAATACAGACTGTGTCATCAACCCAGTCAAAATGAACTGACAGGCGGCAATTTTGCTGCTTACAGTGGAATATCTGACACAATCAAATTTAATAGAGAGGAGAAGTGTGATGTCAACAATCTTTCTTGACAGAGACAGCCATTTGCTTTTTTGAATGATGGAAGTAAAGTATGGGCTACCATGTCAATTTGTTTCTTTGTTTTTTTCTGCACTAATTGCAGGACCATGGTTTGTTAAGATCCAGAAATTTTGCTACTATAGCAACATGATGTAGACTTGTCCTCTCTATAACATTAAATAAAAACCACAAAAGTTTACGCCTTTGCCACTTTCTACTTATCCTGGAAACCATTCCATGTTGTACAGTTTACACAGGTACCCCACTCTACAGAACAGAAGTGTCCACATTATCAAGGAAGGAAAGATATGAAGTTTGGTAACCTTCAAACCAATAAAACTGTCCGCACTATAGAGGTGTCCATATTATAGCCAAAGCCAGGGGCATACAGGAGGAGGGTTCAAATGATGGCCGTTAAGAATGTACACTCTACTCCCTACTTGGCCAACCAATAAAGTACTCAAGCTATTCCAATCGATTATATAACAATGAATAAATCCAATAAAAACAATAAAATTTATAAAAGTAGCACTTGTTAGAGTGTGAACATCAAATTCTATTGATTGATCGATAACATTAATACCAGTTGATTGATACCAATTATCGATTTATCAATTGGTTTTCCAATTATATCGGTTTTTATCGATTGACCACGCTGGGTCTACTTAATACAGCAGAGTATTCTGCATTAAAATATTTCCTTTCAACTCGCCGTGACTTTGAGCTGTTCAGCAAAGAGGGTAGCCTCCCCGCAGACGTCCTTTGGGGTTCGTTTGTCACGCATGATGACGTCATCGTCATCTCAATAAAGCGCCCGTTCAATAACCCTCTTTCAATTTTCCCAGTTAAATTAAATTTTGCTTAATAATATACATCTTTCAGTAAAGGGGCTTCATCGTACCTTTCGCTTACGTTCGTGCCTGTAGCAACATTTACCGCGTTAAAAGGCGGCCGGAACATCGACAACAACGCAAGGAAAAGAGTTGCAGAGAAAAACGTAGACGAGATGCCCAAAATACAGAAGAATATTCTCTTCGTTTTGGACATTGAAATTGTCTTCACCATTATTCCAAGTGTGAAAAAGGCCTTCAAATGGTCTGTGACGCCTTCAGAAGCAATGAAAAGAGACTTGAAGCTGAAAATGCCGACATATTGCTTTGTAGCCTCGCTGATTAAATTGGCCGGCAGGGGACTGGAGTTTACGCTCTTCCCCAGAGCCCCTTGTCCATCTGTTAGGGGTTTCGAAATCAATTTTAGCTTCGAAGAACTAAATGTCTAATTCCTCGAGAGCTGTAATTTTTATTTTTTTTCTAGAAAAATTTTCGTCATCCGCGAATTGATGGTGAGAACTGAACACTCCGTGAGTTTGTGTTAAAAAACAAAAACGAATCAATCAAGTGCAGACTGTGAAAAGTCTACGTTGTCAGTCAAAGGGAAAATGCTTTAAATTTTGTTGAATTCTCTCAGCGAATTCTTTTAAAGAATGTATTGAGATCAGCTTGGAGAAATTGTATCTAAATATCGGGGCTTAATTTTAGGGTTAGGGAAGAAACCTCAGGTGATAAAACCACTTTTTGTGCAGCTTCTTAGTGTTTGTTGGAATCTTGGAATTTGCGCGTGCTGCTTTTTTTCCAACGAACGAGTGAAGCGAGCAAGCGCTGAGCACGGGAACGAGAGCGAAGCCACCCCCTTCCCCTCTTGCGCTAACAGTCAATAAACCCCCCGCAGTTTTTATTGTCATAAGCGCTCTCGACAATCTCTAAAGAGCAACTAGCGGTTTTCTTAACAGGCTAGAGCGCGAGCCCCCAGGCCCTGGGGTAAGCATTTGCATTTAATGGGAAAAAAGAGGTAATTAGGGGCGCTAGGACATTCGCTATTGTATTCTTAATTCTCATGTTTCCTTCGCTTCAAGAACCTGCCATGAAGGCTACCAAAGCGTACTGTGTGGGCAGGCGTTTGTTTTTTCTAGACAGCACTTTTTTGGAGCAGAGCTGTAAGCAGTTATTTTGAACGATAAGAAGAAGCCTTGCTTTTATTTTGTTTGCCAAGAAACAAAAAAGGAGTTGAGGAACTTTCCCGGGAAATTAGACTTTGTAGACTAGCAACAAGTATCTAGGCTCATATACCACCAGTGTTGAATTTGACCATAGTTTTGACTTTTAGATCAAACTTGACAGATAGAGGCGGGAAAATTCGACGTGGAAATGAAGGGTTTTCCGAATATCTCGTCAGGCTTATAGCCTCTTAGTATATCGTCTATGTATAAAAAGCAAAGGAAAAAACTTTATGGGCGGACTCGTTTACTTTACTTGTCTAAGCAACGGTGAAATATCCTTTCCGATTGCTCATGACCGTGTTTGGCCAATGACATCATATGCGCTTCCCTTCACTGGGCAAAATGAAAATTTAATGCCATCAATGGAGCCCGTAGCCTGCTCTTAACTGCGCGTAGCACTGAAACTACGATATAAATGGACTTTATAAAGTTTCACCAGGATAAACTCCAGGATATCTGGCGCACAATGGTGGATATATTTAATGGAAACAAAGTTGTGAACAGCGCGCCATCATAGCCATCACTATTTACAGGGTGGTCCCGAATAGGAATTAGTTTTGATGTCCGGGTGCTGGCATCTACGCTGGCCGGGCTCCCGTGCTCTATGCCTGTAAGGAGCAAGATATTTTGGATCCCTGTTCTCCGAAGTTACTTGAAAACCCTTAAAGAATTACTTTTCATCGTCACCGTGCTTGGTTGGCTCTCAGGTAATTTGTTGATCATACTGTGATTGAACTTATTGACTTTTCCGCAACGCGATCCTGAATAGACCAGCTTCGCTTTGCCTCGCTGAGCATGTTCACTTAGGTGATCACAAGCTTGTAGATTCCCATAGCGCAATTAACCTCGTCACTATCACTACACGCAACTAAAGTACATGTAAATAGAATAAGTGCTAAATTACCCGACAATTTTTTTGGCCGTATTGTAGCTGGTAGGAATTTGCGCAAACTATATGCGGTTTACGTATCGTTGAAAGAATCGATTTCTACGATAAAGGAAAGAGAATTGACAGAAACACGATAGCATTTCAAACTCACTTAAAACTGCGCAAATTTATAAAGAAAAGAACAATACTGTTTGTTGACAAAACTCGTTGGAGTTCCACTCGTGGATCGGGCTAGTCGCATGCTTGAACGTAGCGTTATTGGTTGTCAAAATACCATATTTACGGACTGGTAGATAAGTTGCTTATTAATTTTGGAAAGCACTTAGAGGTATTCCAAAGCTGTGTTTACTACAAAGTAAGTAACTCTTTCGAATACACCTTTATTTATTTTTATGTATTCTACTGACTTGCCTTATTGAGACACGACATAATCAGATTAATCGATTTTCGCAGCAGAAGTCTCAGTGTGAAATATATAGGCGTCCATTCAGTGTCCATTGTTTGAAAATCAAAACGGGTACCAGAGGACAATTTGGTCAAGCATAGAAAGGATATTAGGGCTCAATGAATGCATTCACCAGTTTCACTAATTTTAGCAAAATCATAATTTATTGGAAAAATGACAACAAAAGAAATCAATATAAAAACATTTCAGGTGAAATAGCTACTCAACAAATTAAATTCACGGTAGCATAGAAACTTTCAATAAGTGTGGCTACTATATATTGATTTCGAAATTGAGCAATAATGGCAGTTCTAGAATTTGCAAGAAAACAATGCACTCTAGCAGTATATATATGTTTCATCCAAAGAATACTGTTTGTCTTTTTTCTTTTTTTAATCCTACACATGTTGCGTGAGTGACGCACTGGAAATTTACCAACCAAAACAAAAGTGTGTCTTCAGAAAAATACGTCAACAAAATGTTATAGAGGACAAATGAAAATACAAAACTATGCTAGGTCTTCTGTCCCAAAATGATCAGTAATTAAAAACAGATCGAGTTTCTTTCGCGCATAGTGTTGTTTTCCTGTCTCTAAAATTAAAAATGGTATGTGACCTTATTTCAATTTTGAATTTGATTTACACCCACCTGCCATAAGTTTAACTTTATACTTTTGCTTAACAATTGAGAAATGAGATGTATTTCTAACATTTTCAACCGTGAGAGAAGCCCTTTGGTGTTTTTTTCCAATGAATCCCCTTTGGAGGCACTTGAATGGTTCTTTTCGTTTATAACTATTTTTTGTTCCTTTTCTAAATAGATTTGTGTTGCAATTTGACTTTAAACACTGTCCAGTAAAGGATTAAGTGGCTCGCTCTTGATCGTTGAAGTATTGGTGACGAACGGCGCTCTACGAAGATTGCTCAAGTCATTTTTGTTAAGCTCTGAAATATTTTCAGTAACTAAAATAACCTTTTATGAAAGTATAAGCTTTAAAACGCTATTATTGAACAATTCGATCGCGAGAAGCCAACATTCTATTACTACTGATGACGAAAGAAGGGTGTGGAATACTCTTTGTCACATTTTTCCTGAAACTTTTGCATGGAATCTACACCGTTCGAGAACAGTGAGAGGAAACTATCAGATTAAACATCTAAGCGATTTTCTACCCCTGATGTGCTCAGAAAACCACACTTACAACAAATTTTATTATATGAGCCTCGCTAATAGCTAGCAAGCAACAGTTACAGCAGTGTTAGGCACACAACAAGCTAGAACCTGAAATTTCTAAATCTTTAACAGCACTCAGTCTAATCTAATGTACGTATTTGCACTCAGGCCTACAGGTCTCTGAGGTAATAAGTACGATTTACCTTCAAGGTTGCTGTCTTGAATGCGTGCAGGCCTCAATTCTTACATCTCTTGTGCAATTTTTAAATTTTGTTTTGTTTTTGCACGTTGGAGAGTAATGCTACGAGTGAAGTGACTCACGGAAGCAAATTGTCGCGCAGAAAATTCTGTTGTTTCTGGTGACAGCAACACCTTGCAGATAGTGGGACTTTTCTCGCCTTGAGCAAAAAGACATTGCAACCTAAAGCGGAAAAAAAGTTGTCCACTTTTCACGCTCTAGCCACTAAGCTATGGAACTCATTTGATGAGTAGTTCGCACAGTCTGCGAATTCACAGGACTTTGTATCTCGCGGGTTCAATGACAATAATGTCAACGATATGACAGTGTTACCCATAACGATGAAGACAACGTTAACGAAAAACGATAACACTAACGATTGCGGTGACGAAAACGAAAACGCTAATGCTAACGGTGACGCTAACGATTGCGATAACGATAACGATAACGATTGCGATAGCAATTATGATGACGAAAACGATAACGTTAATGCTAACGGTAACACTAACGATTGCGATAACGTTTGCGATAACGATAACGATACCGATAACGATTGTGATGACGTAAACGATAACGCTTATGCTAACGGTAACACTAACGATTGCGATAACGATAACGATAACGATAACACTAACGATTGTGATGACGAAAACGGTAACGCTAATGCTAATGATAACACTAACTATTGCGATAACGATAACGATAACGATTGCGATAACGATAACGATAACAATTGCGATAACGATAACGATAATGATAATGATAACGATAATTAATGATATGATAATGACAATAACCGTTTTTTATTTCTTGCAGCGGGTGCCTTTTCTCAGGCGCAAACCTGTCAACCGAACCAACCATCATTCAATGTAACGCTGAGAGCCGGCAGCGCGTCGGGTAATTTCTGGAAACTGGGTCTAGTCAAAGACGTCAATCGTTGTGGTCAACTGTGCTGCAAACATCACAAGTGCGACCTTGCCTTTTCAGTGGATAACGTTTGTTATAACGTCCAGTGTTACAACAAGAAAATGTGTCGGTTGAAAAAGAAGAATTTTTCACGACATCAAGTTGCTGTGACTATGGTAACAAGAATAAACAAAGAACATCAACGTAGAACTAAAGATCGCCATGTGAATAAAGCAGTTAATGCACATCAAACTGTCTTTGATAAGGGGATTGATAACTTATTAGCAGCTGGCGAAAGGAAAGATGTTTTTAATAAAACCCAGGATGAGAATAGAGGCTCGAAAGAGTTTGATAACATTTTTGAAAGCCATTCTTTTACTTCGTTAGAAAGCAAGGATACAGGTGTTGGGTTTGAATTGCAAAATTCCTTTCCAACCAAAGCTGTTGTTCGTTTAGAATCAAAACTCTCGCAAGATGGCAGTGAGGATGCAGAATCGGCTAGTTCTGGGTCTTGTCGTGCAAGAAAAATTCTTCGCAAAGTTACTTTACGCTCTGGACTCCAATCTGGCGATTTTTCTGATTACGGTCAAGTGTCTGACATGGACGCATGCGTGAGACATTGCTGTGTTCAAAAAACGTGCGACGTGTCTCTGTTGTTGAAAAATCATTGTTACACGTTACACTGCTATAAACCAGAACTATGTGAAACCATACCCGCGCACGGTTCGAAATTAGACCCACAACTTGCATTCGTTGTTCGTTCTGTTACAGATGACCAATCAAATACGCGGGTTAAGAAGAAAACCTCGTCTTCAGACAGAGGCGTATGTCCCCATGGCGCCATTTTCAATGACGTTAGTCTCAAAGGAGGCAAAAAGGCGGGAAAATTTCAAATCATGGCGCGTACTAATGACATGCGCACTTGTATTCAGAAGTGCTGCGCAAGCCCCAGCTGTCAGGTGGCCTGGTTACTTGGAGATTACTGTTACTCAGTGGCTTGTTACGACAAATGTATTACCGTCAAAAAGGGCNCAAATACGGGAGTTAAGAAGAAAACCTCGTCTTCAGACAGAGGTGTATGTCCTCATGGCGCCATTTTCAATGACGTTAGTCTCAAAGGAGGCAAAAAGGCGGGAAAATTTCAAATCATGACGCGTACTAATGACATGCGCACTTGTATTCAGAAGTGCTGCGCAAGCCCCAGCTGTCAGGTGGCCTGGTTACTTGGAGATTACTGTTACTCAGTGGCTTGTTACGACAAATGTATTACCGTCAAAAAGGGCTCCAGTGTTATTAGGTCCCAGCTCACACTCCTAACAAGAAAACCACAACAGACTGAAAACGACAGTAAGTTGACGTCATTAGTATTTGCCAGTAAATACAAAGTAATCAGTACGGGCCAAATTTGGGATTATTAAAAAAGGGCGTATGCAGAAAACGGGTGTTCGCTTCGATCAGAATAGATATGATTTTTTTCCAAACGATTTTTTCCTTTCGGAACAAGGCCATTGTGATTGTGAGCTTCTTAATTTTTGCAGCTGGGAGAAGTTCCCAAGCGCACTTTATCAGCAGCTAAGTTTCGTTAACTATTACAGGATGCCGAGTCAAGTCTCTGGTGATTTACAACTCTCTTGTCATCTAAATCATTTTTAAGAAGGTGCAACTTGTGAGACTTGAACTAACGCAAGTGAAAGACTACACTAAGACAGTGAACCCGGATTCAACGTTTCCACTCAGGTTTGCATGCATACTGTACGTCTTTTAAAGCTTTTTTCATTCACACTTTTTTCAGAAAGACAAGACATACCAGGAGCGAAAGGAAATACAGGTTAGTGAAACTTGTTAAAAAGTAACTGTTGCAGTTGTCTTCTAAGTTGTCTTCTAAGTTAGCTTAGTTGGAAAAGCGCGGGTTAGCTGCAGAGCGGGAGGCGGTGGGTTCAATCCCTGGCCGAACCAACACTCAGGGTCTTTAAATAATTAAGAAGAAAGTGCTGTCTTTGTAGTAATGACATCTGCAAACGATTAGACTTTCTGTTCTTCTGGGATAAGCAGGAAAAACCGTAGGTCCCGTCTCACAGCACTTTCACTTATCTGGTTCTTGTGGGACGCAAAAGATCCCACGCCAATGTTCGAAAAGAGTAGAGGACGTAGATCCCGGTGGTGTGGTCAACCTCTCCTGGGCTGGGTGGATTATCTGTAAGGAGAGATCTCAATATGGAGACAGCCGTAACTCATGATCCTCCTTCAGCTGTTGTAATGGCTACCTGTAAACAGTGTATTTATGTATTTGTTTTTTTTTTCTCGACAGACAAAGTGTTTAGAGTATTTTTAACTCTCACTGACCAAGTGTTTACAGATCGACTCAAGGATATTGAATCCCTTGAATTTCTTAATCTTGCGGAGAAGCTTCAAGTTGCGGTAAGAGATATTTGTAGTAACAGGCACAACCTTAGGTATAACAAGGAGCCCTGTGGTTAAAGCTGATCAAAATGATCAGGTGTGAACACAACAAGAAAACAGAGTAACCGCGCCGTTAGTCTCGTAGCTCCGATATCCTGATCACGTGACCTACCCAATACAAATCTGATCTCTGTTTTCTTCCATCAGGTTTCGTCTGTATTTGTCAATGAACCATCTTTTAAGACAGATGAAGTTGTTTCTTTCCAGTGAGTTATTTTCAGTATTTTTGTATTTACTATTTATTTGAATTTACTGTTGTCTGTTTCCTCATCAATTATTCAAGAGTTAAGCGCTAGAAAATACAACTGAACACAGATCGTATTTTAAGCGCAAACAAACGAAGGATATTTGAAAAAGCTTAGCGTATCATTTTCACTGTACTGTTGAAAGTTCAATTATACCAATAAAACGTAAAATTCCTTACCGTTTATCAAAAACGTTATGGGTTTGAAACTGAATTGCCCGGCCAACATTTGCTTAAGCACGCGAATTATCCATTATTTTTAATAAATGCTAAATGAAAACCCTCTAAAAAAGAAAACACCTCAGCCGTTTGACCGGGGGCCGTGATTTGTTTTGGCTTCATTTTTACATGATCAATTGAAATGTTGGCGAGAGGTATTTTTTTTAGCTGATCACACACAGCAACGACACTTAAGCGAAAGTAATTCTTTGATCGTTTTCCTGCTTACCAGGCCATCTCCAGTGGTCGCTCAGCTGACAGTAGCCATAACAGCACAAACCTCAGTGACCAAGGTACTCAAGCCTCTGCTAGATGCTGTCATAACCGGTCACCTGAATTCCTCCATCGACGGAAGCCCCATTAGTTTTAAAGTGAGCAATACTGGCTTTCGCTTTCTTACGTCCAACGGTAAGTATTTTAACTCACCACGATTGATCGCTCACCAAGAAAGTTCTTTATCCTGAAAATAACTAGCTTCAGGTCTGCCTTTAGCCTTGAACGTAACTTGTCAATCATTTTCCGATCCAAACTGCTGTTAACCGGCAACGAGATTTACCCGTGGTGCAGCGTAACCACGGGCAGGATAGCTAAAAGCGCTGGCTCGTAGAGCGAGACATCGCAGGCTATATTTCCCCGCCGCGCAAATACTCAGGGTCGTAAAAGGGGCACGGAAAAGCAGTGTTTCCAATTGGTTCTTCCCGCTAAAAACATTGACAAATTATAACCTTTGGGGGTAAAAAGCATGGCAACAGTTTTCAATAGGTGTTTAAGATTTATATTCTCTCAAGCGACTTACAAGATATTGTTCGATAAATGTTTTTTGCTGATCACCTTTCTTTAAAGGGGTAAACCTCGTGTGTGGTGCAGAACACGATTATGACGTAGGCTGGAAACTTATGATGTTCAACTCGACTGATACCGTAATATGTCCTCGTAACGCGCAAGGTATTGTACCTACATGAATCTAATGGATATATATCGTAAAACGAGGTCTACGTAACATTCGTAACGTACTACATTCCGCCACTTTGGAAATGAAAAGGGAATGGAAGCCCAAATGCCGGCTACAATTGTTTCTGGGATAATTACTGGGGATGCGCTGGTCAGCTATTGGCCAATTTTTTGCACTGCCCCTAGTAAAAGTCCCAGGTCCCGAGTCCCATTTGCAAAAACGTACTCGGCTACCTCCCTTCTCGTTTGTAAAGTTATGAATTACAGATATAGAAACGCAGAACACCACGTGGATAAAGTAATAAGCTTCGAAGCGCGGGAACTCGTTTAGGTTATACTTTCATCGTGCCTACCACAAGTAAACGTTAACTTCGAGTAAAAATTTCTTGTTCATGTTGCAGGAAAAACGAGTAGGTTTTGCGCTGGGAGTGAAACCTTGAATGCTACTTGGCAGGCGCCAGATTTTAGTGAATGCGTCTCTCCCGCATATAAAACGCTACATCAAGAGGTAGGCCATAGAATGTTTAACAACTTGGGGGTAGCTGTTAGAAAAAATAGTACAATCAAGGGGTTGTTGGTGGTGGTAGCCTGTTTAAGGCGTTCAGAGATTGTGGGGACGGCGCAAAGAAGTGTGAGCAGGAAAAACAGCGAGGGGGTGGGGTGAGAGCGTAGAAACTCTTTCTCTCCCTCTCCCTCCCCTCTCCCTCTCTTCGTCTTCCCGCTCTCTGAATTCGCGCCACTCACCACTAGCTGAAAGCCTGGAACAAGCTATGGTGTTAATAGCGGGAACAATGAATGCTGCTGCAAGCAAGAAACAAACCTTTAGTGGTCTTTAGTGATACACATTGTGCATTATTTAAGCAATAGAAAACGTTTTCGGTGTTTCCATAGCCTGATAAAAACGCGAGATGGGTTGGGAGAATTCGAGACAGTTATGCAAACCCGAGACGAAGTCGAGGGTTTGCATAACTGTCGAGAATTCTCCCAACCTCTCGAGTGTTTATATCAGGGTATGCAAACACCGGAAAAAAGTTTTCTATTGCTTTTATAAAACAACTTTCCTGAGAAAAAACACAAAACTCTTTGTTATGGCACTGATCAAAAGGGAAATTCTTACCAGTTGCAAAGTCTTGTACTGATGATAAACCATTGTTTGAAATGCCCAGGCAATTAATGGCCCCTTTCTGCGGCATACACGAAGTCTTGCACGCGTAATCAGTTCTTGTTTTGCAAAAGGATGCTTTGCCAAATACGGATTTTTCTCGCTTAAACATGTCACCTTAAGCGAAAAAAAGTTGACACAGCTTGTTTGTAAAGATTTTCCAAGTTTCAGCCGCCGAAGGAATGAGTAAATAAAGCAAACTTGTCGAGTTTTGATCACTAAAACTTTTTCAAATTCGTCCTTGGCTGATTAGCAGGCGAAAAGCAAAACATCTTACGTCACAACCATGTTTACATACTCTAATGCGAACACTCCTCTCAGCCAATCAGAGCGCGCGTACTATTTTAAGTATTTTATAATATTCATCGGCCTATGAATTTATTTGAAGATAATTAATTCCATCTCATACTAACGAGATTCCGTCTTAGAGGAAGGCCTAACCGGTGCGCACTATACTACTATACTAATCAAGCAACAGTTGTGATATTAGCCTGATATGATCTGAGTATTTCTGTTCTGTTTTCTTTTCTTTTTTCAGACCAAAGATCTCGCTGACAGAGCGGAGAAAAAGCTGCCATTTGCCCCAGTAAGCTCAGGTCAGATCATCTCCCGCCTTGAGAAACTGGTTTTCACAGACACCTTTAGAGAAGAGCTTTACAAGAGCTCCCTCGCGGATCAGAGGAAGAATATGGCAGCTGAGAAAAGAAAAAATGGGAAGAAGGGCTCAAAACTCCCCGACAAACCAACCTTTCTCAAAAATACTATCAACGGAGACAAAAAAGAAGATCCGAATTCTGTTCCAGTTACGGAAATTCCAAGAGCTCCTCCTGAAATTTTACCAACGACGCCGGCGCATAAGACTAAAGACCCCAATCCAGTGTGGTTTTCCGCGGCAAAAACAAAGTTATTCGCCTCAAATTCTAAGAGTAGCTTAGGCAGTAGAACTTTAAACCTTCCCACTCCTAATCGTCTCTTTGAAACAACTCCGCCAGTAAGGACTCCATCCACCACTGTTTCAGTTCTTCCTGTGCAAAACAGTGGTAATGTGAACAGGATACCCACTCAAGCTTCTCTTTCGCAGCAAGCTAGAGTTTTGGGCCCCACTGAAAACATGAATTCTTTTTCGAGGTCGCAAATAAAGAGTATTGCTCAGTCAAATGCAGCGATTGAAAGTCAAAGGAAAAATCCAGGAGTTTTAAATCAAGCGCAGTATAAAAGCTTATCTCCGATGCGTAACACTTTTCAGAAAGCTCAATTTTATCAATCGCAAAACCCACGACTTGTCCCTGGCTACGGGAGATCACCAAATCCTTATGAATTGCGAGGTTATCAAAATTGGCAAGGTAACCGAGCAGCATATCAGAGAAGCTGGGGACAAGTTTATTCCCCGCCAAGTTATTCTAGTGAGCAACTCGACATTGGAAGACGAAAGAGAGACGTTGACGATAGCAGTAAAAGGCAACGACGTCAAAACACTGTATGGTATAACACTCGGCAGTATCCTTCACAATACAACTACCCGGCAATGCCAGGGGTGATACCAAGAACAAACTATATACAGTCAACAAACTATTATCCACAGATCAACTACCAAAACGCACCAAACCAAGCCGCTACAAATACATATCAAACTGGATATCAAAGGTCTCCATACGGGAAATCTCTCGGGATGAGACTTTCACCCGCCGCTCAACGACGGCCTCAAACAACCGTTGTTGCACCAGGTTCGAGGAGTGATACTCAGGCGAAAGCGTCATACGGGACACAGCCTGGGATTCTCTCGGGAGGTCATCCCGCGCCCGTTGAGCGTTGGCCTACACTCGGAAATATAGTTCAAAAACCAACGCAGCCTTTGCGTCCTCAAAAAGGAGGAAAATCCGTTTCTCCTTCTGTCAAATCCAATATTGCAGTGAACACAAACCAAAAGCCAAATCAAAATGTGCAAATCGACCAGACAGAGAAAAGCAGTAAAGTTGTGAGCCCTACCAATTCAAAAACGTCCTTTGCTCACAAGAAGCAAAAAGTTAGTAGCTCAAAAAACACAGGGCCTCGAAAGGATCTCTCGAAAAAGCTCCACGATCTCTCAAACCCTAATCCGCGTACAAAGACACAAGCTAGCGCTCACAAGCGTCAAAACATAACCGTTTCTCCACTTTACAGCGACGAAAAGCACGTGGTGCCCATGTTTGCTGGGGATATTTTACTTTCGGCAGGAGTGCTGCAATTACTACAAAAATTTGCGCGCTTGTCGGGCTCAAAGGTCACTGAAACAGAGCTAAAGGTAAGAACTTCTTCGACTTATTGTGACAACAGAAGCAGAATTTAATAGACGTAAATTAAGAAAATGAAACAAGAAAAAAGATGTCAGAAAAGATATTAATCGTAGTGGATAATGTGTATTTAGGGTTTACTTTATCGTTTGTCTCACAATTGTCACTTTGATATTGATCGCGACGTTTCGACAGCATACTGCAGGTGTGCGGTCGAAAGGCTTCATCAGGCGATAGTGTCTATATACTGAGTCGGACTATTTGTTCCACCTTGGTTGTTAGTAATTGGTGTACCCCCGAACCTGTCTCATGGTTGGTGGGTTTCAATCCAAATGTGGATACCCTATTTAACTCTACGAGAGTACCAGTGAGGGTCCCGGTCAAAAAAATTAACGTCGTCCCAGAGCGGATGATGCCCGGTTTTCAACTAACGATCAAGTAAAGATTCAACTTACATACGTATCGATCACAAATTAGGGCAGGGAATTTCTAAGAATGTCAGTTGCTTTTAGTAGCTTGCGTAACTGGCGCTTTCATGGCACCGCGGTAGAGGATTCGCCTCTAACTCTTTCATGACACTGCAAAAAACCAGCAAGTTATTTATTCAAAATTACGGAAGAGAAAAGTAAACTTTTTAGTCCATTTTGAAATAAAAATAGTCGATTTTTCCGATCAATTTAGGTTTCTGGGTAACTGCCCACCTACCCCTCCCCTAAGTCAACATTAACACCTCTTCCTCACTACTGACTCCGCGGTATGGCCATTAACTTACGCATGCGCACAACCATATCACCCCGGCAGTGGCAGCCATGGACACACTTTTCTTGAAATCGATACCAATTTGGGATCAGAGCTCATTTGATGTGGGTGCACACGGGACAAACCTGGTCTCATACTCTCCTGAACAGGGATTAGGATGTAGATAAAGGGTCATATGCTTATTTAGAAATTGCCGTCTGTTAACTTTTTTTTATTTCATTCTCCTTATACAACAGACCTTTGTCAATGCCAGTAGCCATCTCTTGGATCTCAAAAACAGACAAGAGTGGATTAATGCACAAAAGGTAATCAAACTGAACAATTAGACTCTCCAGTTAGAAATATATTTAAAATGAATGTTCGAAATCAAAATTCAAGCTAAGGAAAAAATCCCACATTTCTATCAACATAATACAAAGTAAAAGTTAACTTTCACCAGTGCTGCGAAAGAGGCTTAATTCGAGCGATTGCGTTCACACATTCAAAACTAGAGTTAGAACTTCATTACACATCTTCCTTGCTGACTCGAAGAATGAGAATCGATAATATATTTGCGGGAGACAAGAGGAACCCGCAATCCTAATCTCCAGGGCCCGGTTATTCGAAGGTTGATTAGCGCTTAACCTGGGGTTAAATTTAACCCGGGTTTCTTTTTCTTGTGTTCAAAAGCATTTTCTCGGATCATTTCTCCGTTATTTTTAGAGCTTCCAATCATCAACTTGTAGACCAAAAGAATTAAGACTGAAATGCTTTTTAAGCTTTCAAATGTGAATTCAAATCTCTCACTAACCCTGGGTTATCTTAACCCAGCTTTGAACAACTCGGCCCAGGTTGTTACTACGCATGCGTTGCATGTACGTAGCCAGCATTCGTTTGAACTACCACTAAGAATGAATGGAATGCATAGAAAGCATTTAATCACGCGCGTTTTGACTATCTGCCATGTAGAACTTACGCAAAGCGTAGCAATAGAGCAAAAGCGTTTTGACCTTCGATCGTTGTCACCCTCCCTCCCTAACTTTTGGTTATTACTAGTTTAAGTAGCATTTTAACCCTTTCCTAACTTTTTTTCGCCTGTGCAGCACGCAGAGGCTCTTTACAAGAAGGGCATCAATGTCCTGGAAGACAGCAACAATTGGGACTGGGACGAGTCTCAACAACTAGCGGTAAGCCGAAAGGACACACATTTTGCTGTGCTAATCAAAATTGTAATTACTGAATTTAGACGGCCATTCTTGTAACCAGAGCTGCGAGCCTATTCGCTAAGGATAGCTCTGGCCATGGCCGAAGTAGGACGTCCGCAAAACACGGACTCATGGCATTCTGCGCAGCCTCAGAAATTTTAAACAATGACGGTTACCATCGGTTTTAAAAGAGGAGGGAAACTACTGGGCTTGCGCATTATCTTGACTCCAGCCACAGCACTCGATTCGTTAGACTGACTTCAAGGATCACAGCTAGGGGACAAGACTGTTAGACTCCCTATTAGAGACTTTAATGGTAATATTTACGAAAGTACTTAATCATATCTGGAAATGACTTTACGCTACCGTGATACCATCTTTTTTATTCCTTTGGAAAGAGCTATAAAACGGGTTAAACAACCTTAAAATAGCACATGAGCTTATCTTAATCAGATTCCTCGGCATGTTATACATGAGATAAAGTCAAAAGGCCATGACGTCATGGGCTTTGATTATTCCACTTCACACTAATGAGATTCCACTTCAAAAAAGAGATTTATTTGTTCCCTACTATACTACTAAGAAGAAAGTAGCCTAGTAAGTGAAACTGCGCCTTTTAAAAGTAATAAGGCTTGTCAGAGATAAAATTCGTGGAATGCTCCTGACGTTTGGAATTGGCATCTCTTTAAAACCATTTGATTTTTTTTTGAAGTCCTTTTCAGGACTGTAGGAGCGATATCAAACGCTGTTTTTCTCATGCTTGATAAATTGCAAATACGCTGGCTTATTAATAGCGTTAATGACAGTTTTCTTCCTTATACAGTCTCCAGAAGACTCTTCTATAGGACCAGTTGTGTTGGATCTCGTAGGAACGGTACAGGCATATGTAATGAAAGCGACAAATAGTATGTCACTTAACAAGCCTCTTGTGACAAAAAACATCCGTAAGTATGGACAAAATTTGAAGTGAAAAATATCTCAAGAAAAAAAATTATGAAGCTTTTTTGACGAGGAAATAATTTATAAAAACTTTTCTGCAAGAAAAGTTGAAAAAGGCGGTAGAACAGGGACGGATGTTGTGTAGCATGGCTCCCAGTTCCTTGTCTTCCTCCTTTTAAACTCGCACCAATAAAATACCCCTTAATTTCCATATTAAATTTAGAAATACACAACTTTACTCAAAAATTCAACCTTAGTTGGACAGACTACCAAAACTTTACATCACAAAGGCACGTGACAAGGCGGTCATGTTGCTGGTCATTTAATACAATAGAATATTTTTTCTCGAAGAATCTCAATGAAAATGGAGTTAAGTTCCCTGAGCCTGAGAGAAATGCTTTTGGTCTTGACCACCAACGCGGCCGACGTGACCAGGAATTGTTAATAAAAGAGCTCGCGCAATACTTTTGCGCTTGTGCAGTAAATGCGATTCGAACGCTTTCAAGGTTCATTACAACAATGACTCATAATTCCCTTAACCCCGCATGTACGTTAACAATATGATCTTCTAAACCTTTTTTGTAGTCCTTGGAGTCCATACGTTTGGCCCAGACAACTCGAACCCTACGAGACCAATGTCATTTCCGAACTACTCCGACCCGCTTGTGGCAAATTGGAGCAGTGGGCGGGATTCTATTACTCTGACACCAACTATATTCGACTCGGCTATGCTAGGTACGTATGGGCCATTCGAGGTCAAAACAAACTGCACTGTGGGACTGTATTGGGAGACGAATTTTGACTCACTTTGCCGTGCAACCTTTGAGGTTGTGTGAGAGACCAGGTGGAGATGGTTGTCAAAGTACATTGTGGGACTGTTTTGGGGGACCCATTTTCAGCATGGCGGCAAATTCGTCCCACAAAACAGTCCCAGAATGCACTTTGACAGCCATCTTAACCCGGTCTCTCGCAAAACCTCAAAGTGGCGAATAGGCAATGCAAAAAGCTACAGCGTTTCCTAAACTGTCTTATTAATAGTGCTATTTCAAACAACACCAATCCATGCAAGGAACTCTGAATGGATAATGAAGTGTTCTCATTTTAAGTCCTAGTGATCAAATCTGACTGTGTTTCAGTGGAGCGCGAAATAGATATAGATTTGATCCCGAATAAGATTAAAACGACTAACCTTATAGAAACCTTATATTTTTTGCTTCATTCGTTTCGTTCCTGTTTTTCTTCGGCAGTAACAGCTACGCTCTTTCAGCTTGTATGCTTGGTATAGCTTAGTTGATTTCGACGATATGCCTGTAAAATTGAACAAGAAAAAATATCGAGAACAAGACACTTACATTTCGTTTGATCACTAAAAGTACATATTTTTTTCGATAGGAAACAGTGCTAATGTTCGTTTATTGACGTCGCGCTTCAAGACCGTTTCTCAGCTGCTTCCCGGCGAAAACGACAGGTAACAAAACTGCTAACATATAATTAAAATTCAATCAGTCTTAATGCATCATCAGACATAAGAAAAGCCGGTGGGGATATATAACGGAGGGAGAGTCGTAAATACCAAATCCACGGATGTGAACTAATCAGAACTCAACACATACATGTAGGTGTCGCTAAACGTGATGGTGACGTGGTGCAGGAAGTGACAGCGAGTCACAATTGAGCGAGGATTATTGCCAATGGGAGAGGGCTTTGAGACAAACTTTTTATGAGACTGGGATCCAGAGAACATTTTGGGTAGAAAAATGGAGATTGTAACCTCGACCTTAAGAAACCTCACGATAAGTTCGGATTTCACTCTGATGAAATCGAGAAAGATCCACATTATGTGGAACAGGTCACAAAGGGTAGAACTGTAAAACAATCACCGCTTGTGTGATTGAAAAGAATAATGCTCTAGAGAAGGTTTTTATTTCTCCCTACTTTACACTTTTGTCTTGTTTCCTTAGCGGTTTGGTATTAAACAGTGAGATTTTGTCGAGTACAGCTCAACCAGACTTGGCGGATAATCTCGATCCCCCTGTAAAGATTGTCCTGTCAGTTTTAAACGTAAGTACAGTAATATACAAACTAAAACAAAGTTTTCGAATTTAACTTATTTCGAACCTGGACGTTTAGCACCAATTTATCATCTCTTTAATTCTTAATCGCAAACACCAGAGCACATGATGATGTGTTTTAAGTTAACTAGAGTGGCATGTTGATTTGAGGTATGAGATGTGGGTAGGAAGAATTTATCTAATTTAAATACCAGTGGAAACGAGAAGAGGTAACAAAATTTTCTCCCCTTTCAGTCCAGTTTAGTCAGGTTTGAACAGCAGTGCGTGGCATGGAATTCAAAAGGAAGGTTAGTAAAGGTGACAGCGGAGGGTTCTCACTCTTCAATCCCGTAATCCAGACCCAAAATTTCGTGCAATCCCGTTATCCTGATGGTTATTTTTCTTTCAATCCCAAATATCACCCCGATTTTGTTTTGAAATCCCGAAATCCGAGCTTCAATGATGGAAATTCCCGGATCCCGAAAAACCTACTGTGGACCTACGTGGCACTGGTTTGATAGGGGAAAGGAACGAGAAAACGTGCGAAAAAGGATGAAATGGAAAGGTTCCCTTCATTTTCCTCCTTCGCGCGCTCTCCCTCCTTCCTCCCTCCCTCGCGCTCCTCAATCCCTTGCACGCCCTTCTTCCCGTCTCCCTAAAGCCCCCTCCCTTCCTCTTTCAAGCGCACTCACTCCCTCCCTCGAGTCCCATTCTTCTTTCGCCCCTACTCCCTCAATTCCCCTTCCCCCCTTACGACACCTGTTACACAGCGTTAAAGAACAGTGAAAAATGAATCTTTTATCTGAATCGAACTCCCGATAAAAATGTCGCGGTCATGACCCTGCAACTGATGATACCACTTTAATAATCTTTCTCAACTTTGCAGCCAGGGAGGAGAGGGCGGAAAGTGGTCGCCGGAGGGATGCAAACTAACAGCTTCGAACGCCACTCATACTACGTGTGAGTGTAATCACATGACGGACTTTGCTGTACTTGCGAACAGCAATCAAGGCATGGTTGGTACTTTTTTGTTTACCTTCAGATCATAAGACAATTATTAAGTATAGACACTCTCACACTTCAGGTTTTCTGAAAAGAGAACGAAAAATCACAATCTGAATCCGGTACCAAAATATTCCGGATTCGTCACGAATG